AAAGAAATGTATTTTGTATATAAAATACATATTACAAGACCTTATTCTAAGATCTTTTAATGCTTCCTGTATAATCATTAACACAGTATAATTATTTTAACTTTTTACACATGAAAGGAAATATTTGTAAACTTGAAATTTTTAAAGCTATCCCTAATTTTATATTTATCATTCTTAATAAACACACAGAAACGTAAGTTTATTATAGTTTAAGATTTATACTCAGTTATTAATCTTTATCATAAGTAAACAGAAAAAGAGTGTCAGCAAACAACTTAATTAAAAAAAAAGTATAAAGAAGAGACTGTATTGGTTGTTGTTCACTTTGTATTCTAATGATTTTTTTGGTTTTATGACTCTGCATACTCCTAGTCAGTATAGTATAATAAATTAATTACATTAATTAATGGGTTAATTTTTAAATCAGATCTCATCACATAACTTGTTTCTGTCAGAAGTCAATGTTAATGATTGAATTACCTGCCTTTAAATGAAAATGTATACATAAATGACCATGCGAGTCAAACTAATATGCACCAACTATTCAACTTCAGAAGTTTAAACCTCAATGAGCAAAATTAAGTCAACAGTAATTATCGAAATAATGTGATTTACAGACTTTTTTTATCTATTGTCTTTAAATTTACTGGTTATATTGCCTTACAAGTGGAATTTGTTATAAACTACAGCCATTAACTATAAGAATCCAAATCAAGATTGCATATTTTTCATATAATACAAAAAATGTTCCAATATACTAAATATTTCTTATACATAAAGTTGATTAAAGATTTTTCACACAAGACAGATGTCATCCAATTTATATAGAACAACTGAATGCAATGCCAGCACCACTTTGGATATAAAACTAGACAGAAAAAGTAAACCTTAATATCTTTTGGATGCTCTCCTTCTGCAATCCGAACCATCCATAAGAACTTGTTAATATCATCTCCCGAGTAGCCAATCACTCCTCCAAAAATAACCAAAACATAATCCACATCCAAAGATTGCATAATCCTGTAAGCTTGGCTTTCATTTGATGCCATTGCTTTGCCCACCTGATGGTAAGAATAATATTAATAACAGACTTTATACATAAGAAACAGGAATTCTTAAGATTAAAACAAGAAGCATACAATACTGATTACCTAATTAAATATAATATTTTTAGTTCATTTACACTAAAAGTCAGATATTAGCAAATACAATATTAACTTTGGTTTTAAATGGCCCATTAATTTTCTTTTGGTTGAAATACATAAATACACATTTAAGACTTTTCCCCAAAAAAAAAATGAAATTGTCAATTTTAACAATCAAGCACAGACTGTGAGCACAAACTTACATATGGTCTGTTTTAATACTAAAGCATTTTATTAAAATAATACTCACCAATGCAATATGACTGTTATTCCATGTGTTGTTATCTACTAGAGTTGTTCTGTTACCCATCCCAGCTATTTGGTACCCATAATCCCACCATGACATCACCCGAGAATCTTCTGGTGTATTCTGCCAAAGCCAGTAGTAGGCTTCACGGAAATCATCCAGGATGACCCGTGACCTGAAATAAGTGATACCCCATTCAACACTGGCAAAAACTTAAGTCTGATACAAAAACATAAAATTCCATCTTTTTTTTTTGTTGTTGTTAGTATACTTCTTTAATCCAGGAGTATTCTGATAAATTCCTATCTAAAAGAAGTAAATATCATCTTTATAACATTACTTCCCAGTTAAAGAGAAAGAATTACTTACTAGACAAGATATAGATAAGTTGGCCATTATAGTGCCTTTCATAGTTTAAGTTGTGACCCATTACCGGACCACCAGATCATCACAAAATAAATTAATGTATTGTTCATCCATAGATTTAGTTACTACCTGTTTAAGAGAAGTTATACAAACCAAGGTACACTTATATAAATATTTAAAGGTTGAACAAATCTTTACATGCATTCAATGCCAGTCACACACACACTACAGCCTACTAGCAGTGTTATTGGAATGATATGCATGTCTCACAAGAATGAAAGGCCTCAATAAACATTGTGTGAAGTGTCATGATTCAATAAACTTTTAGTAAATAATTTCTTTTTTTTTTTCAATTGGTAATCATCTTATAATATTAAGTTGAGCATTTAGCATAACAATCTAAAACACTAACTATAACTTGCCAACTTAGAAAGTCTTAAGGAACCCAAAACAAATACAAAAAAAACAGAGAACTATGAAACTGAATTTTGTGAGCTAGACATTTTTAATATTTCATTTTTAGTAACATTGAAAATCATTTTAAAGAAATTCTTATAACAGACATTTGTAATCATGAAAAGTATTTCTCAATAAGATATATATAAAAAATAAAATCATAATTAGTCAATTTAACAGTATGATTGAATGTAGTGAGTGTTGAAGTTCTAGTGTTATCACAGTTGTACATCTACAGATGCAGTGTATCCTATCATTAGCCTCCAACAATTATACAAATAACATTACTTAAAATAATTTTAATTCACAATTTCATCCTCACTGTGATGGAATTGAAATTATTCATCACACTCTTAAGCTGAAAGTAAAAACCTTTAAAAGTGTGTACTAACCCATCAGAGCTGTAACTAGCTAGTACTATACTGGGACTAGAATATGCATTGCTTGTCACCCATGTGCAGTGGACAGCAAACATCATAAGGGTCATCAGCATAACAACCACAACCACGGTCCGAACATTGGAGCCAAGACCTATGCTTTCCTTGTTTTGATCTGTTTTGATCTTCCTTACTTTTCCTGCCTAGGAAAAACAATCTGTGAACATTAGCCGGTAAAGATATTTGTATATAACTGAATAACACAACAAAAAAAAAGTAAGGCTGATTGTGTATTTACTAGTAAGCCTCTGAGAGATAAGACTCAACACAGGATGACCCAAACCTTGAAGAAAATCAAAATAACTAAAAAAAAAAAATTAGTCAGAAACTAACCAACTAAACTACCTCAAAAAAAAATACATAGCACCAAAATGAAATATTCTGATCAAAATTCAGTACTGAAATTATGCCAGTTATGGTTGATAACAAAGAAAACTAATTCCTGACATCTTCCATTGACACACTATAAAGTAGGAGAAATGATGTTCATGTAGTATAACATAAGATAGAAATATACCATGCAAAAAGTAGACAAGAATAAGATAGATTTTTGTCTAAGTTTTACAAAAACTTTTGTTTGTTTGTTTTTGAATTTAGCGCAAAGCTACACGAGGGCTATCTGCGCTAGCCGTCCCTAATTTAGCAGTGTAAGACTAGAGGGAAGGCAGCTAGTCATCACCACCCACCGCTATCTCTTGGGCTACTCTTTTACCAACGAATAGTGGGATTGACCGTCACATTATAACACCCTCACGGCTGAAAGGGCGAGCATGTTTGGTGTGACAGGGATTCGAACCCGCGACCCTCAGATTGCGAGTCGAGTGCCTTAACCACCTGGCCATGCCGGGCCCAAAAACTTTTAACAATTATTTTTATATAAAAATAACGTTAAATATAACTTGCATTATTGATTCAGATCTTAACTAAAAATGACGTTAAATGTAACTTGCATTACCGATTCAGATCTTAACTAAACAAGTTCATTACTATATTAACATTTACATAACCTATAAATTGTCTTTTTCATTCAATTGTATGCTAAATATGTGACCAAAAATTTGTTAAGTATTAGAATTGTAAAGACCACAGGAAATGCTGCTAAATAAATTTTACCTACCAGTTTTTTTTTTGTTTTCTTGATAAAAATTAAATATTACAAATGACAATCTCAGTTTTCGAATCAAGAGTTTATGTCTGAATACTCACTCACCTTATCATAAAGGTGTTTATTTCCCCTTTTTTCTCCTCCATCACTCTCATCACTTTCACTGTCTGTACCATTAGAAGACTTAGGTGGTTCATCTTCTTGAAGATATGTACTGAATACGTTAGAAAAGGCAACGGCCGCAAGGACACAAACAACAGGTGTCAATGTAAGCATCAGCCTCACCATTACACCAGCAAAATAAACAGCAGTTACAGCATACAGAACAACTGAAAAAAAAAGTTATTGTACCATAAACATGAAATGGAAAAGCATGACATAACATGTGACATATAGTAAATCAAAGATCAAAAGGTTATATATATATATAAAATACTATCAATTTTAAAACTGCATTAAATGACTCAATAACACTGCAGCAACATTTAATGGTGTATCTTTAGTCTTGAATAAAATGGAATAAAAAAAAACGTATGTTAAGATGGTCAATGAAAAACAAAAGAATACAAATATTAACACTTTCAGTCAGTTGTAATGGACATTCTTTAAATAAATTTATTAACATCTCTTATATTCACTACTGAAGTAGTCCAATTATTCTTAACAAACTATTAAAGTTATATAACAGTCAGCCCAAAATTACATATTTAGACACAATGAGAAATAAACTGTTTATAATAAATATTATAAATACAACAATGATAAACAAATGGTCATAGAATTTTTCCATATTCAGTTTCTATCCAAACATAATTAACTTGCATAAAACAAGTTAAATTTTTTCTTTCTTTAAGGTATGTTTAGTGACTATAATAAAAAATTTATAACATTTAATTTCACACATGCATATTGCACTTAACTGATAACATTATTCACAGGTAGTAAAAGGATCTGTAACTTAAAATTTATATTATACATATACAATAAACATGAAATTACGAACCAAAACATTTCAAAGCTACATATTGTTCACTTCAGAAGTATAACTCATAAAATTTCAATCGAGACAAGTAAACTCTTTAAAGCTATCATGACTACACCTTAATGTTTTAACTAATTATTTTTGTTAGTTTTATTTATCCTTTCTACATTTAAGAAAGTAATGAACAACTTCACACTGAAGGCACCATTTTTCTTATGTCTTGCAAGCTTTATAACAGCTCCTTATGGATTAAAACATGATGTAATTAATTATAGTTACATTAGTATTTCTTAATAACTTATTATAAATATGATAAATGATGTTTCATTAATTAATTCTTCTCATTACTATGGTAATTTTTGTGTTTAAGTATCTTGTATACAGTGCCTTGCAAAAGTGTTCACACACCCCTATGCATGTGTTTTCAAGATTTTTTTTGTGTTATATCACTATTATGGGTAACAATGCACCTTTTCTTTGTAATCATTAGAAACTGGTCTGAGATTAATATAATGAATGTTTTTTGCCATTTGAGTTAGGTCTTTCACAAGAAAATACCTAAAACTGATTACCAGCACAGGGGTTGTGAAAACTTTTGCAAGGCACTGTATATTTTAGCTAGTTCATAGAGTTTGGCTTTATTTATTACTTCCCACTACCCATTCTTTAAATTGACCGTGTGTATTTAGGGAAGGTGTAACCTTAGCGTTGGATTAATCGTTTATACATTCTATTAATTTATTTTATTGCATTAACTTATTTTCACTACATTTGTTTGTTTGCTTGTAATTATGCACAAAGATACACAATGGGCTATCTGTGCTCTGCCCACCACGGGTGTCAAAAACCCGGTTTCTAGCGTCGTAAGTCCGCAGACATACCGCTGTGCTACTGGGGGACTTTTCACTACATAGGATTTAGATTTTACAGTTCATTCAACAAAGTTTTACAAGCTTTGCTACTAATCTTTCATGTTAAACTAACCTAAAGATACACAGTTAGGGGGATTTTATTTGTATAATGTATAATGGTGTCATGCTTTTCTAGGGATAGGAAGTTAGTGATAGAACATGAAGCAAATTAATTTTTGGGTCTTTTAAATAAAAATATCCTCCATTCTTTTTTTAAAGTTATTTTTCAATATCATTGGTTATAATATTATATATTTATTTTATTTATTTAATTTCTTCATTTTCTTTTAAATTATTGATTGTTAGCTTAGTCATCAACTATGGCCAATCTAATAAAAAAAAAAGAAATAAAACTGAAATATGATAAACTTTAGGATTTTAACAAAAACTTGCAAATACAAGAAAATAAAAAAGCACTTACTGAACACTCTTTCATCATTTATGTTCTTGATACAATACCATAACCCTACAGGGAAGACAGCAATCAAGACATGTAAATCAAAGAAGAAAGAGAACCATGTTGTGGGCTGATGCTCAGAAACTGATGCAATGATTGGAATGTGAATTTTGGCATAGCCAGTGTCCCACAAAGAGTAAAATCTCCCACTCCATGGAGCTATGTATCCTGGGGATAATGGAAATTGCAAAAAACACTAAGTATATTTTCTCTCTTCTAAAATCTTTTTGAGTTAAAATTTGAATTAACATAAAATTTGACTCAAAAATATTCTGATTATACAAAGTGGTTAGCTCTATACTTAATTATTTCAGATATGTTTTAAATGAAAATATTATTAATGTTATCAGTGATGGTTAAACATGTTTCATTGTTTGATTGACAATTTGGTTGATTTATACAAAATCAGTGAGAGACTACAGCATACTCTAAAATCAAACAAAATGATGAACACACTGTGTTGTTGACATGGACATTCCACTAAATAGGAAATGTTCAAGTTATTTTTGAAAAAATCTGTGCCAAAAGTTTTTGGTACTCTTTTTGTTTTGTTTTTTACAAAATGCATAAATGGTTACTATCTTATTAAACTAAGAGTATTTCAAAAGTAAATTAAAAAATACAAAAAACTAGCTGACAATAAGATGATTACTCTTGCGTAAGAATAATTGATTAGTTGAATGTAGTTGATTACTAAGCCATCCGATTAACGAATTAGGAAATTTCACTAATTGCCCAGCTCTAAATATCAGTGACATCCCTCCAATCCAGAAAGGGATAAATGAAAAGAATTATAAATGTTTTAGGCAATGAGATATACAATATTTATTTAATTGAGTAAAATATATGCTAAAAATATTTTACTGATAAAGATAAAACTTTCAAAATACAGTGCATATGAATATCCATATGTTATATAAACTGCAAGTATTTTATCTATTTTAGGTTCTCATATGGTATTATAAACATTCCAAGGGTGTTGAAAAATGGTCCTAACTTTGATAACTAATTTTTCTTTGAATTTTGGGTTAGTTACAAACATAGAATACTGAAGTAAATATTGCACATTTAAATGCATTTAAACAGTACTCTGTATTCCATTAGCATAAATTTCAATGCCTTGGAAAGAAGCAAGTTATTGCACACATAACATATTTAATATTTTACTAATAATTTCAATATGAAAAAAATCAGATTATGATACTTTACTAACTTCAAGATTACAGTGTTTCAATACCATAGTGACACATAAGTTAGAATACCTATTATAGCATCAAGTGTTATAGGCTTAGCAATCATACAAGTAATTTTACATTTAATAGCTACACAACACGTACCAATTTGCCATATGAAAACCAACTGCATAAAAAATTTAAATCTTTTTATCTTAAATCTGTATTTCATTACTTAATTTCTATTCTTGGCAAACACAAAATTACTCTCCAAAATTGGTTAAGGTATAATGCTTAAACAGTTTTGTTTTAGAAAAAATACTCAATTTTAGCTCTTACTGGAAAGTTTTTGTATGAGCAATTTTAAATTATATTTGCTAAACAAATCAAGATCATTATTCCAAACAGTGAACAGTTAAATTATACACATTTTTAGTCACAATTATTATTAAAAGAAAAACTGGTAGCAAAAATGATCAGACTGTTTTCTTTTAATATAAGTCACAGACTGTTACTGGTTTGCATGAATTCTTAAGTTTTCTGTAGATAATAGAAGTTTTTTTTTTACACCTCAAACCTAAACTTTAAAATTGCAATTCAAATATATTAAACTGTTACAGTTTTACAAGTATTAATTTGATTTTGTATATAACTTTAAATCTTCAATTGCAGGCTTCATTTAAAGTGTAAGGTCTATAATTTGTATTTGATGATATTATAAAACACTCCTTATAATATAATACGTTCATAAAGTGCAATGTTATTAACAAGAGCATTATACACAAGTTATTTAAATACCATTTTGCAAATTATATAGTAAAGTTTATGTACTCCATTTTTTTAGAGGTTCATCAATATATACAAAAGAATAATTCAACTACACGCACAAAAGTAAGGTTTAACTGATTAGTTGAAAACAAAATACACATATGGCTTTTAGCCCTCTTGGTTTGAGTAAACAAAGAATCGAACAACACATACCTGTATATGTCAATATGACAACACTAATGAAAACAACTGCTGCAACCGATGTTATGGCAATCAGAAAGAGACTCTTGAACTCAGTTCTTGACATGAAAGATTGCAGGTATTTCAAGAAAGCAAAGGCATTTAGTAGGACAAACACACCTAGAAACATAAATGGATTAAAATCTGATTTTCGACCCAAACACACAGTAATATCTAAGAACATTATCCACAAAATAAAAATATACACCATTAGTGTCAATAAGAACTAAAACAAAAATGATACTGGATGCTGAACCCAAATTAACAGAACTATACAGTAACTATTTTCTGGAATTTTGTTGATGTATTTTGTAATTCTAACATATACTGCTTTGATATATACATTCGCATAAAATCAGTAAATGCATAATACAGTTTAATATCATTGTAAAATATAAAGTAAAACAGTTGCTTTCTTAATAGGATGCTCCAAGAGTAGAGAAAGTTATGCTAATGTTTATAGAGATCTCACATATGACACAGCACAATCTGCTTTGAAGGAGAAAGTTTTTTTATGTTTTTAAAAATTTCAGTAATTCCTTTTTTGTTGCACACAACAAACACACACATAATAAACAGAGAAGCATTAAAAAACAATATTACTAGTCATACGCAACATTTTTCCAGAATAAGGATTATTCCATGACTTAGATTTTTCAAATTTTTGGTTTTATGTCAAAGAATGTGTATTCAGCAATGAGTTAAATTAAAAGTGTTTGCTTATTACTGACATGACCTTGGAAAAACACTTTGAAACTGTATTACAAATACACATGAACAAAGACATAAGTTTGCCAAAAATGTTTTGCTTAATTACAATACATTTCACTCACTCTGCTAAACTTTTTAATAAAAAGTTGGGAAAATTGTATGCAATTCATTAGGAGTAAATGAAAAGTAAAAAAAAAATATGATGTAGGGATGGCAATTCCAAAACGTACAGAAACAAGGCAGGGATGAATAGACAAAAACATACAAAAAATCATTATATAAGTAGCTCAATCTTTCCAAGAAAAACTTTTTATGTAACACTAAATGTTGAATTTCTTTCATTTGCATGAATTCAGGTTTAAATAAAAGCATTTATTAAACTGAATAATGCTATATAGTCGTACAGTGGCCAATTCTTGTAAGCTTGTAACATTGATTCAGTGGCTACTTATGTAGGGATTTTTATATGGTTTTGTGTATTCATCCCTACTAGTGCTAGTTTCTGTACTTTTTAGCATTGTTATCCCTACATCATCTTTGTTTTTTTCAAAATTGTTTTACTTGTTTCCTCTATTTTAAAACAATACCAATGAATTTTTTATAACAAATGGCAGTCGCTATGGAGGCAGCAGTTTAAGCCTGGCATGATGAGTTCTCTTGATGGACATCATGTGTTGAAGTTAGTGAAAGGCTATACTGCTTCTGCACTCCCAAAGTTAAAATGCAATATTCTGGTCTGTAATTCATTGCAACAACTTCAAGCATTAGTGAGCTAGCCCTTTTGATGCTAGAATTAGAATAATCATCAGAACATTTGACTGTCGAGCTACTCGCCGGTTCTCTATTTTAGAAATGTTTTTGGGCTAAACTGAGGGCCTTAATAGCTTTTGAAAACCTCAAATTGTAAATTAGGTTTTTATAAAAGTCTCTTAGCTTGTTATGAGAGAGATTTGAGACTATGATGAGCAATATATAATATGCATCAGCCATTTTTTCCTAGAACATACCAAGCACTACTATGCTTAGTGATAACAACATTAGTTAATGAATATTTTCTTGGTAACCATAAAAAAAAAGTGAATTTTTTAGGAACATGTAAACACTAGCACTGCCCCCCCCCCTCCACTCAAAAAGTATGCACAATGTAAACATAACCAATTTTATGTTTTAAATACGTGAACTCAATCAAAACATTTTTTACAACAGTGACTACTGGCACCGAAAATTTTTTCGTTTTCTCCAGATTTTCCTCTTTACTTTCAGAAATCCTAGACTGTATCAATAATCTAAATTACTAGATCCTATTACTACCTGGTCATATTAAATGTTCCTGCTAATGGGAACTGCAATGGATAAACAGGTGTAGATGCTTTCAGATGTTCACCCTTATCAGGATATTGAGCTCGAGGGCTGTATGCATTCAGAGGAAAGTAGCTGTAATGAGCTAACCTAGATGATCATTGAGCAAATTCTTTAGAAGCATTTGCTCTGGGAGTAATGGATGGCAGTTAATGTTGATACATAAATCTTGTTTTTAAGCTGATTATATAAAAATGTTGCATTAAAATCCACAAAATTCTGGTTTTATGAAAATTTTGTTTGAAAAGTATATCATGTTTTGTGTTTGGAGGACCAACCATTCTGAAGTTTTCAGTTTCAATAATATTCAGCCATCAAAATTAGAATTGGCAAGTAACAAAAAGTCATCAGAAAAGCCATGGTATTTTATGAAAAACATCAAGTATAATGACAAAAAATAATGCTGTCATAAGAAAAAATTCCGATTTGTTTATTAACCTAATTTTTAAATTTGTCTTGTGACTAACATTAAAGATTAAGATTCTATAACAAATTAAAACTGTTGATAATTATCTAGAATATTTTAATGATACAATCACTTCACAATGCCCAATTTGAAATTTCAGTTAAAATTGAATTCAGTAGACTGTTGTAACAAACCAAGGCAAATGTAAAATTTATAAAAGTTCTTAATATAGGTTTGAATGTATAGGCCTATCTGTCCAGGTATATCTGAGTGATCCTGTAAATCAGTACCTTTCTTTTACAGACAAACTACTTACTAGAAAAGATTAATAATTCTTTTAATTCACCTGATAAAACATTTAATTGTATTTTGGATTAATGCATGTTTTAGTATTGAAAGGAAGATTGTGAAGTTTATTACTGTAAATTTAAAAAGCTTGAAAAATGTTGGCTATTACTTTGTAAAGGAGAACCGGAAAAATTAAGTTTCAGCTATCTGAAGAATGAGGAATATCAGTGTTAACAAAAAATTTTTAGGACTATTTCACTGTATTTTGCTAGTATTAAGCTATACAAGTTTTGATTTTCCAGGGAAGTTGAATGTCATATGGGCAGAATGTGACAAAGCTTATGCCTAAGGTTCAATTCTGAAAGATGCCTCTAATTTTATGGTTTCATCAAAAATACCTAATCACATGTGAATGACATTGGTGCATTGTAACAACCCTCATTTCTGTGAAGCTATATAGCAATGTTTACTATGATTCTAAATCCACTAAGTGCATCTCACAGAAATCTGGTAAGCTAAAAGTGTGTTGTACACAAAAAAAATCAATTTAAAAAAAATATTTGTCTATGGATTTAAGAAGTTAGTCTGACTAGTCTGAGAGCAAGGTGACTGTCATGTTTTCATATTTCATTTACATAACCTCTAGAATATCCTAAATGAATATAAATATTTTTCAATAAAACTTTTATGTTATTTTCTCTTTTTTCTCTACCTAAACACTAACTGTAATCAGCAATGTAAAGTAAAACAAAAGGTTGAAAAATACAAAATAAATCTAAATTACCTTTTTTTCCCTACTGCATATTGTAACAAAGAATTACACACTATTTTTTCTTACATCCAAAAATAATACTTTTGAAATCTGGAATAATTTAGTTTATTGCTTTATAGCTGTAGCTAAACCCTCTCTCAAAGTACAGTGAAAGACAATCACAGCAGGAAAGTTTTGTGTAAACAAAGGATTGTGTTACATGTCAAATTACACAATCTCGCCTCACAATGTGGTCATGCTATCATGATCGTTTTATTTAACTTTTTTTTCAATTAATTTTTCTTATCTAACTTGATAAGTTTTTAATTTCTTGATTTTTTTAAAACAATAAATAATAACTATATATAAAAAACAATGAATTTAGTACTTATGTCTGGATCTTCATTCTCTTGCCATCAGGAAGATGAAGAAAAGTAACCCTAATTTTTTGTAATGATGTTGGTTTACCATAAAAAAACATTATTTTTAACTTGAAATATGGAATTTTGAACACAAAATATTAGCAGGACTAAAAAATAGAATATCCTAAAACTACTGTAATATAACTGGCCTTCTAACATGATATAAAAGGAATAAAAAATTCCTATAATTGGTCAAGTGAGTTCCACAACTGAAACAATAATACTCAGACCAAATATTTCAGCTTAACAAACAAGTTTATAGAAAATTCAGTAAAAGAGAATCTTCTGTTTCTATTGGTTGTAAATAATCCAACAGCAAATGTCAGCAAGAATTATTGATATTTTTGAAAGAATGTGATAAGACGGGCATAGCAAATGAGTATGATATTCTTGTTAATACCCCAGTAAAGCAAGAAGCTAGAAATTTAGCAATATCTATATTGTAAGTGTGTAATATATGCCCAATTCAGATCATATAGAAGCAGAAAGAAAATCTAAAATGGGCAATTTGGATCAAAGAAGTGTAAAGTGATACAGAAGTGAAGACTGAGAATTAATTTAAATAATTCTTTAATATTAAGGAATTAAAACTTATATAATATCAAAATTTAAGTCCTAAACTACATTTTGATGCCAAGTTTATTGACAAAAATTGACTTTTGAATGTAACTCAGTAAAGGTTGTGACAAGTGCACTTTGACTGTCCCATATGCTTCGGGTTAATCATTACAAAAAAACTAAAGTATAGATTTAATTTTCTACCTTGGTGAGGATACTTGCCTTGTACCCTGCTAACATATTAAATGTCTTTATATGGAAGAGCATCTTCAGGACATAACACAGCATTTGTCATGGTGTTGTCTTGATTAATACACTTAAGGCAGCAATTTGCTTGTTTTAGACTTTGTCCTAACTTACAAGAACTAAATATCAGTTCCATTTTTTTAATTCAACCTAGAGCACCACATAGTGATCAAAACCAAGTAACTGAAATTTGAATATTTTTTCATGAGATGTTTTCGATTATCATGTATTATCAAAATATGATCTAAGCTTCAGATGTTGAAGTTGCTAAGGATATTTGGTAAATTGCAGCATTTTTTCAATTTAAAAATGTTTTAAAAGACAGTACTATAAAATACTTTGATGAAATACTATTTTTCAAACTTCATATTCCCCTAGCTAGCAAAGATAATGTCTCCTGATGAACTTGCCACAATGCCTTTATTTGCCTACTACTTCTTGCCTTAGCAATGTAACTTGATTACTGTGGTAAGATCATTGAACATTATTACCTAATTGTAAAAAAATGTTTGTTCATGTAACTTGAGTAAGAAGAGCAAATATATGGTACAAAATGTAAAAGATAGCATTCTGAAAGATGCCTCTAATTTTATGGTTTCACCAAAAATACCTAATCACATGTGAATGACATTGGTGCATTGTAACAACCCTCGTTTCTGTGAAGCTATATAGCAATGTTTACTATGATTCTAAATCCACTAAGTGCATCTTACAGAAATCTGGTAAGCTAAAAGTGTGTTGTACACAAAAAAAAATCAATTTAAAAAAAAGATTTGTCTATGGATTTAAGAAGTTAGTCTGACTAGTCTGAGAGCAAGGTGATTGTCATGTTTTCATATTTCATTTGCATAACCTCTAGAATATCCTAAATTGTACACAAATAAAAATGAAATAAAAGGATTTCACCAAGTCTTCAAAATATAAACAGAAAAAACTTTACTGCATATATATCTTTTAAACAATAATGCTCATCACATTACAATCTGTAGCAATACTTTTTATAATACAGTTTTTATTGAATTGTAATAATATTTCCTGTCTTTTTGCTCAACCTCATTAGATATTAATGGGTTTAAGGCCAAAAATATTATTAGCAGTGAGAATACCCCTTATAATGTAATGAATTACAATCACTACAGGTCTTAATGTTTTTATATAATTTTATGTACTTGTAATCAGTTTGTTATATAGAATTGGCCTTACTAACTTATAGTCACATTTACTTCTGATTTATATAGCTAACTTACTTCTGATGAAATATCATTAGTTATGAAGGGAAGAAAAAAGTTTCAACTAAGTTTATCACAAAAAAACAATATATACTTTTTACCTTCTACTTGGTAAGAAATAATTATTTTAATGTTTCATAAAATATTAGTCAGTGGAGTTTTCCTTAACTTTAAAGCACTAAATACAACCACTAAAGCTGAGGTTAACTAACTTGAGAAAAGGAAAATCCTAGTTATATTATGATCAAGCAACTTCATAGTTCTTCAATAACCAACATTCCAATATTGAATTAATTAGATTTCAGGGTAAATAAAATGTATATCGTCCAATTTTTCTATTTCTTATCAAATAATTATTTACATGGAAAACACACTAATTTTACATAGGCCAAAATTAACCAGCTACATCATAATTAATTAATCTTGGCTAAATGAAAAATATCTACAAGTACACATATGTCCAAGTTTTAAAAAACCTTTTCAGGTGTAAATGTAATATTATATACACTTTATCTTACCTGCTGATGCCATATGCTCACTTGTTCTCACAGGCTGAAAACCAACAAATGGTATTTGCATGGAACACAGCAATCCAATAATGTAAAAGGATGTGTATGCTAAAAATATAAATTTTACATAGAAATAAATGGGAAAAGATATGAAAAGCAAAACTATGTATTTTAGAAGTTTCTACACTTAAAAATGCTGTGATACTGCCATAAATCAAAGCACATAGTCACAAAGCATCAACAATGCAGAGCATTGTTCAGTATTTCTGTCTTCAACTGTTTTAAGTCCTGCATGATAATTACTTTTCATATTTAATTAAAATTTAATGAAAATGACACGAACAAAAGTTTAATACAAAAAATTATAAAACAGACTCAACTGTTGCATAAGCACTAAATGTGATTTAAAAAATAATTACAACATAAACAATGTATGAAGAAAATGCATAAATGAAAATAACCAGTCATGATAAAAACAAAGATGAAAATGTGCCCTCACAAATATTGCATAACATAGAACATCTACCGTTCTTTAACTAGATGAAAATGTCCAATCACAAACAATACATAACATAGAACATCTACCTTTCTTTAACTAGATGAAAATGTCCAATCACAAACAATACATAACA